AAAGGAGCAAAACCGAATGCTGGAAAACTGTCGTGGAACTGAGGTAAGTTGGCTGTATATATATATATATATACACGTATTGTGCTTGTTAAGGTGATTAGCTGACGAGCTCCACCTGGGTCAGACTGATTGATTATCTGATCGTGCTCCTCCCGAACCTTGTTAATAAAACATAATTTAGTTAAACGTGGCAACATTTTATTACATTGTTTATTGCCTCTATCACGACAGTTCAGAAATAATGTCTGGTGAGTGGCTCTGAAAAGTTAACGCAACGTCACAAAAATAACGTACCTACCCTAAACTGTACTGCAAACGTGAGATAAAAGCACATATTCTGAAGCATCCATGTCGTTTTAGGCTCCTCCTTGTGTTTCACAGAACTCGTACCTGAGCGATGCTGTACCAGGTGAGAAAATGTCAGAAAATCATTAAATGGAAGCATTGTGCTGAGATTTTGTGCTTTATCAACAGCGTTTGCGCCAGCATCTTATCGTAGGAACAGAGCTGGAATCCAATATGTTTTGAGACATGAGCATCGTCACTGATGATCTTCAGACCGTAGCATACTGATGCATTCAAATATGTTATACATAGAGGTGAACCTGTATTTCTGTTCTGTGTCAGGAACTTGTCAGACAGTTTTTCCAACAGAGCGGGAAAGCGCTTCAGTAAGCGTGCTTTGATTGTTTACTCTCTCCAAACCACCAGAGAGCTGAAAGTGTGAAAGTGAATCTGTGATCTGTGCCGGTTTGTGAAGGGCATAAAAGCTTTTATTAACCTAGAGCTGTGGTCATGACTTTACTGAGAGACTTCTCAGCGCTTAGGATGGCCACAGCTCCACAATGACAAAAACATCTGCTCGTAAAAAATGGCATGGTCATGTTTAAACTCAGCAGATGTAACGTTCTCGGCTGATCGCTGAGCGAGCAGGGCATCACGACCCTGAGTTTGTCCTTTCGCTGAATTGTCTGACGTTTTGCACAAAATCAAGGTCACTCTTAACAAGAGGGCAAATGAAATTGACCCTTCTGCACTGTAGAAATGAAACAATAAGCCCTCGGTGAAGATTGAACCTCAGACTGTGCCTCTACGACGGTTTGGTGTTCTTCATTATTTGCAGTGAGATTAAACGCAGTATTGTTGCAGTTATCCTGAGTGTGCTCCTTAAACAACAGGGCAGCGGGCATTTTGGCCATTCATTTACACAACGACGATATTTTGGGGGCCTGAAAACACAAACGTTTGAAAAAGGGTTTTGAAGTGCAAGTTTTTGAAAACAATACCATTATCGTCTGAGTGTAAACTACAAAAACATGAGTTTGTGAAAGCAGTGACATCATGTGCTTGTGTATTACGTGTTCAGTCTATAAGAATGTGTATTTGTATCAAATAATGCAGCGTGTTTAGTCGTTTTCCCGGATCTGTGTGAAGGGGGATCGCTTTGACAACGCTGTCATCTGTACACAAAACTTTTCAAAAATGCATAGGAAAAACATTTCAATTTTTAGTACAGTGTTGTCATGTAAACTTACCCTAAATGTTCTTTCAAGCAATTTACCATGACTACATTGTGATGTAAAAAAGCAGATTGATGTTCTGTTTTCTCTTTCTTACATTTCATTTTTGTGGATACTTAATTGCATTACACGTTTCTCTGATGCTTGTCTTATTTTCTTCTTAAGGTATCGTTTAGTAAGACATTGACATTGTACTTGTTTGTCCAGTTTAAAGTAGCTGTGAGATGGCTTGATGAGCACACTTTGTGTTGATGCATTACTGTAGATGAAATACTTCCAAGGCACTCATGTGGTAAGATAAAAAGCCTTAAATGAACTGGGCTTAAATAATTACAACTAGTTAAAAGTAGATCTACGCGTTTCGGCAATAATGCATTACTGATTGAAACATGAAACCAGGACAGGAGCAATTGAACAGCTCATCAGCCAGTAGCATTTAGTGTATGTCACAGCCTGATTTGACACAAATGAGCACGCTGTAGATTCCCCCTTTGGATTAAATGTGAAACTGTAGTTAATTTCTGTAATGAAACAGGTACTGTTCCTACAGTAAAAGAGTGATAATTTTAGCAGCAGCGTAGTTTGAAAAGCGTGTAATTTATGTTGGTTCATGGCACCTCCTCTGCTCATTAGTGCTGTTTATAATGTCAGTGCTGTCGAAGTCTTTGAGATGTTTGACCTCCTCTATAGAGCTGTAAGAGGGAATGAACGGCCAGCCGCTTGTTATCATAAAGCTGGGGTGCACATTACCCCACTTATTACCAGCTACATGCCACAGAAGTAAAGATCTGGACACAAAACATGAGTGAAATATTTTAGTAGCTCACTTGTAATAAACTGAACGCTTCAGCAAATTTGAAAAAAATTATGTTTATATTTGTGAAATTAGTAACATACAAGTAATCAAAAGGCATAAACATAAAATATATAATCTAAAAATACAACATAAAATCTCTAAACAATTGATCAAAAAATAAAACGCACCATTGAATTAACATTGGAATTAGAATACTGTTATAATAAATCTGTTATTGTTGCTGCACTCATGCAACAATAAAAAAAGCAAAAGAAAATAATCATCAGTCCCACATACCCACTGCAACAGATTCACCACGTGATCAAAGCAGCACCTCTGTGATGCAGTTGATAACCACACTCGGCCAGCATTGAGTGTGCTGTGGCTGATGGAATGTGTAGTGCCTCAACCACATCCCGTTACACATGTCTTATTATCATGATAGTGAAGCATTGTGAAGCCGGGCATAGACGGTGTGATTTTCGTCTGATTTTCAGACTCATTTTTAGAGTTGGCCCAGATTTGAGTTTTTCCGTGTCGTGCTCTTGCAGTGTGCAGGGAGATCTGATTAGCCTCTCTCGACAGGCAGTCGGATGGTTGGATGAATTTATCACATGTCTGAAATGTTGGTCGCCCTTCGTGAGGGTATCACACCCGATCGCCCTAAACTCAGCGTTTTTTCCCTCACTGTGTCTGTGCTAAAACAGAAATGAAACCATGGCACACAGCGTGTGGAATGGGCAGAAACGACGGAGGCTACACGGTTCCAGGTTCTGGGGTCCCACATGCTTATTTTTTACATGTGTTGTAGTGTGAGCAGCTCAACGATCAGTGTGAGCACAGAAATCCTGAGCTTTGGCTTTACATCACATGTGATTTACTCGTACAGTGAGAGTTCACCAACTGTATTTTAGTGATGCGCAGTGGCTAAAATTACCTCCCCACTTCTTGTGAAGTGATGTGTCCGTGTACCCTTATTCCCTATGCCCTTTGCAGTGCACTTCAAACTGGACACTTTCGCTGCCACCTTAAATGAGATTTCAATTCAAAAAGGAAGAGTACCCTGTGAAGTCCACTTACCCACTTTGATTGGAACAGTACAGTCCAGTTTATGTCCTTGCCTTCACATAGAAGCAGCCAGAGACTCACCGCGCCTTCAAAAAAATCCAGGTGCGTAGACCAACTCGTACTGTGAGAGTTCACCAACTGTATTTTAGTGATGCGCAGTGGCTAAAATTACCTCCCCACTTCTTGTGAAGTGATGTGTCCGTGTACCCTTATTCCCTATGCCCTTTGCAGTGCACTTCAAACTGGACACTTTCGCTGCCACCTTAAATGAGATTTCAATTCAGAAAGGAAGAGTACCCTGTGAAGTCCACTTACCCACTTTGATTGGAACAGTACAGTCCAGTTTATGTCCTTGCCTTCACATAGAAGCAGCCAGAGACTCACCGCGCCTTCAAAAAAATCCAGGTGCGTAGACCAAAAAAGGTTACCCAAAGGTGAAGAGCTTGAAAAAAGTTTGCACACTCAAACATCAAAGCATCACAAGTGAGATGAGAACAATATAAGCAATTTACTGAATGAAACAAGGCAAACGTTTCGGTCACATAAAAATAAATAAATAAAATAAAAAACACACCGCGAGCTATTTCCACTCAACACAAGCACTTGGAGGTCATGTGCTGCTTCATATTTTGCCTGCAGTTGTTGTTAATTGCTTCTAAGTAGGTGTGAAATAGACCTGCCATTGGCTGAAGAAACACAATCAAACTGGCCTTCAGTTTAATGTTCTCTATAAGGCATTTTTCACTTATGTACAGCAGAACTAGCACAGTATTTAACACACTCTCTCTTCTCATATCATTCTATATAATAATTATTTATAAGATAAATATGTCTATTTCTCCGGAGCCTTACATTTATCAACCTTTCTCCAGAGTCTCATTCCACTAGCAGAAGGAAACCAGTTAGAGAAGTGCAATTAAAATGATGAAATACTCCTTTATTGGGCCTCTAAACATGTTTTCCCCTGTCTTAGAGATTCATGCAGGCTATATAGCAAAAATCACAATGTAAATCTCCAGGGCCCGGTTTTTCAAAAGTAATCCACTAGGATTTTGGATAACGGAGCACTTTCTATCAGCAGTGACCTGCCCAGAGGCGGACGTCGCCGGGAAGATGCACCGTAAAGGTTGTGAAGTTACTTTCTGTGTAGCACATGAATATGAATTTGTATGAAAAGGAATAAACAGTTCCCGGTTACGAATGATTTCCATTCAGCTCTGGCAACTGACTGAGAAAGAACACATACTATTCGGAGCATCGTCATAATTTTAGTAAGATTTGAATTGGAATTGAATTCCTGAATTTAATAATTAGACTGATTTGCTTCTATTTTCTATGTTTTATATATTTATACAAACTATACACAAAAGTGTCTGTTTAAAATGAGAACCAAAGCTATTTGGCATCATTGACATAATATATGGTACGATGTGTAAGTACGAGGTTTAGCCCTCATGTTGTGTTCTGGTCATTTTGATACTGAGAGTATTGAGTATTTTCTACTTTATGGAGCTTAAAATACGACAAAACTATTTGAATTGTGTAAATTTGAATTATTGACAAGTGTCATTTAACAAAACTGAATATTATGTGGCATTTAACATGGTTCTGAATTAGATTTTGTTTTAATTGAATATTGAACATTTTAAATTTATCACAATTTTAATTTTTTTTATGGCAGAGTTTTATAGACATGTATTTTCAAACAGTGGATTTTTTGTTCTGAATTAGACTCCAAACATCCAGTTTTTAAAAATACAGCTTCAAGTTTTCAAGATGAAGACATTCAGAACATCAAATTAAATATTCTAAAACTCAAAACGCAGAAATTCAGATCGCACAGAAAGGTCAGAGGTCATCCACAGGGAAGAGTAGTTTTTGGCCAATTACTACGGTGACCGGGAGGGGACATGTTCGCTTCACTTAATTTTGTCATGGCCACTAGGCTACATATTAACTCGTGGGAACATGGTAATATGTCGTGGCCACGAGTTCATTTTGTCGAGGTAACTACATCCTTATGTCGTGGCCACTCGATGTGAAGTTGTTCATTTCTCGTGGCCGCGACTTATGTTGAGGGAACAACGTGCTTGAATTGGGCCGGTACGGACTACAGTATATTTACTATATAGAATAGTGACTTATGTCCAGATGTCAGTAAATTATTCTTTTCAGCATGTATTTGACTTAAAAGCAAGAGTGTTTTATACTGGATGCTGGCGGAAGGTGTTTTAGATTATGCGCTGGTCAGAGGTTTAGTGATTCTGAATGGATCCGTATAGTTACAGTCAGGTCAAGGCAGGAGCTTTAGCGGTGTTTGGCGTCGCCCTGTGGTCCTGTTTGGTATCGCAGCTTGACTTGTGCTTATTTGTATTGAAAACATTTATTTAATTATTGATTAATTGCGGCACTATACATACATTGTGAATTATGAAAATTAAAAAGTACTTATTTATTTAATTAATATTTTTCTCGTGGCCACGAGTTTAATGCATAAACAAACCTGTGTGACCATAGCAACCTGCGATTATCACACATGGATAAAACATTTTTATCCATCCCACAGTCTTGTAAATTCGTTAACTGATCGTGTCTTTTTATTTAATATTTGTATATTATTATTATTATTATTATTATTATTATTATTATATAACTGTAGACTAATACAACCCTCTACATTGCGAGTAAATCACTCGCATATGCGACTAAATCTTACTCTGGGCGACTAAATAATGTCTAACATTAGCCATTGTATGTATGTAGCACGCAGCGCACCTGTATTTGACGTACCGTAAACT